CTCCCACGCTCCTCAGGAGATGTAAGAAAATGTTTTTCTCCCTGAGCCTGGCCTTCATAATTCCATTCCATCACAGTTGGGTTTAGTTTGCAAAGCAAGTGGTACAATAGGTGTTAAGTATCCAACAGTCTCAACTTTCTTTTTAAAACATGTACAATAAACACTGACTGCCCCAAATAAGGAGAGAGAGGGCCAAATCTTCTGCTCCCCCTCTGGCAGCATCATTCTATTACCATCATTCCTCTTCTACTCTCCTACAGAAAAGGTTGCCTGATCCAGAGCTACACCAGGTGCTTCACTAAGTAGTCTCGCAAGCTTCCCTTTGCTTCCTTTCCATTTCAGAATTTATGTAAGCCTAACTCTATTTTTTAATGTTCTGATTTTTTGCAGCCACAACAACCCCACCACACACCATAGGTACACTGGAAACTACAGCAAGTTCATCTCCTTCTACAGTGTCGAAAACCACTGTTTCCACAGAATCCACAATATCAAGCACTTTGAAGACCACTTCCACTACCACAAGGCCCCAAATCAGTACCATGATCTCTACACATTTTACTGGTATGTCATTCCCCAAAGCCATACAACAGTGGTGTCAACAGCATCTTTAAAGAAATAAGCTACAACCAGCGCATATCTCCGAACAGCCCCTCCCCCCCATTACTTGCGTCACTTTCAGGTCAATTCCAATCTTCCCTATCTCACCTTCTGCAACCTTTACTCATGTGATTACAATTACCTTTGTTCAAAGACACCCATGCCAAAGGCATATAGAGCACTCACCCCAAATGTACCTACCGTGATCAAAGCAATTCATGTCACCGCAGTTATAACAAAATTTGGCAGGTTTCCAATTTGAACTTAATTTATTGTTTACTAGACAATATTGAAATGCACAAAAAGGGCCTGAACCTTGAATTGCGATAAGAAGATGGGGAGTATAATGTTGATCAAAAAAGTCACACCAGTCATAACAGGAACCTAATTTATTTTTCAAACATCTTAGGGTCTTTCCATTATTTCACTAAATACAACTCTTCAAGATCATAACTTATTACATTATTTCTCAACCTTACCAACTTAAAGATTTTGGACAACAGCTCCAAGAATTCCTCAGCCAGCATGCGAGCTAGGGAATTCTGGGAGTTGAAGTCCACACATCCTAAATTTGTCAAAGTTCAGAAACACTGCACAGTACATCTAGTAGACATTTAATACTTTGACAGCAATATACATTTTGTAACTTCTCACAAGAAACTCTATAATTTCTTCTCCCAATTCTCTTTACAGAAACCTCAGAAAAAACTTTAACAACCATAGCACCTACATCAACAGGTAAGAAGACACTTAAAATAATACCAAAAAACTAAAAGACTACCATAATGCTCCAGGTGACCAACCACAAACATTAGAGAACTATCGCTTCCCACTATTTTTTTCTCCCTATAACAGCTTCCACAAGGAAAAGTAGCACACCAAAAACAACAATAACAACTTCATTGACAGTAACAACAAAAACTACTAAATTGACACAAACAACAAGAACCAGCACATATCAACCAACAATGACTACTCAAAAAAAAACACCAAAGACAGACCATCCAGCCACAAAGACTGTTCCAACACAGCCGTCATATATAAATCAGACAACAACCAATACTTCACCATCAAAATACATTAGTAAGTATATCAAATTCATGAAGCAAAATAATTCTTCAGAATCCTTAAAGGGTAACCAACAAAATCAATTTAATTTTCTGGTTCAACTGCAGCTTCCACACCTGTAACAACAGCAGAAACAACTAGAACCACGAAAACAACAGCCAGGTCTCCCTGTCCAACCCGGAGAACCACGCCATCGACGAAAAGCACCACCACCACCACACCTAAAACCACAAAACCAATCTCTACCCTGAGCGTGCCCACCCCTCCTTCCACCAAATCCACGCCAAGTAGCGCGCCCACCCCGACAAGCACAACCCCCACCCACACCTCCACCCCACCACCCCCCCCCACCACCTCCACCCCCCGCACAACCCCCCCCACCCCTACCACTCCCACCACCTCCTTGCCCAGCAGCACCCCTCCCGTCACCCCCTCTACCACCACCCTGACGACCAAGACCCCGGCCCCTTCGACACCGAGCACGAGACCAATCAGGACCAGCAGTGGTAAGTTGGGCCGTTGGCTTCAGCGACTCCGCGCACCACCCATCTCCCGGGGGCCCTTCCCACAGCAGAGGCCTCAAGACCCCTTCCCTGCCCCTTCCGGCACCTTTCCGCGGGCACCCTGCGGGCAATGGTCGCCCCGTCGTGCTCAGCCTGGCCGCTGGGCTCCGGCTAGAAGCACTGTGTGTTCCGGCCCCAGCGCCGCTCTGGCCCTCAGCGGCTTTCCCCCAACCCCTTACTTCTTTCTCCCACACGGCCTTCTCTCTGCTCT